ATAAGTATCTAGTGTGTAGGCTTTCCATAGGGTTATTAGGTCTTCAGTCTACTCATTTTATCTCTGGCCATAAAAACGTTTGTACTCATAATTTATCTATCACTTGCAAATCAGTGTGTTATATAGCTGCCTTGCTGCAATCGAGTATTCCATCATATGAAAACTCAGTAGTATGTATAGATGTCCAGGCTCATTATTATTCTTACTAGTAAATACAATTGATGTTGTTACATGACTTGATAGTTTCACACAATTTATTGTGACCTTTGGTGTTCTATCCAATGTTTTAAAATTCTCCACGTTTATAGCTTTTTACTAACATATAAATTGACCTTATATGTGAATTTATTAACTATGCAACAATAATTGATATATGGTCAACATACCAAATATATGGTTATCTGATTCCATCAAGCCAATAAGAACAGACAATTTTGACTTGCAGCTTTACATTACGAACTGTGTATGCATATTTAATGAGATCAAATGACCATCCATGGTCTTGTGTTCAAAAACATCATTGGATGCATGTCCTAAATTATAGTTACTCGTAACAACGAGATTATATACTCCGGCCAACCTCAACTTTCTGTTTCTATGGTCTGTTTCCCAACAAAGTGTCAACAAAATTAACAACATCTTCAAATACGGAAATACCACACGTGTTATCTCTTAGAGGATCAATCGTATTTACCAACTCTTCCCACTCTTCTTCTTTCAGTGGGCTTTGGGCTGTGATGTAATTGGTTAAGGTTTTGAAAATGAATAAAGAGTTTTAGTTGGTCTTGGCGAGTACACCAGAACAGACGCAGTCCTGGAGAGTCTTGGGGCGAGTCTTGACGCAGTCTTGGGCTAGTCTTGAGTCAGCCTTGCGATAGTCTTGGGGAATTTTCCCCAGGGTGTGTGTCTTATAGAGTGCTCGATTGACCGACCAAGACGAGAGTTGAAACGTATTTCGTTGTGTGTCTGATTTGACTGTAAAGTTTAAGTGATTTTCCCGATCCCGTACCTCGAGGGGACGCGATATAGAGCAGAGACGAGATTCCCCCCCCCCTGACACGTGTGGAGAACCCTAGAGGAGAAGAATTTCCCCCGTGATAGGGCTCTAGGAATGTCGACAGGAGTCTCTGTGGTGGCACTGGTCCATCATAGTTGATCCCATACACATTTATGTCGGCCTTAAGACTGAATAGTAATAATTAATTATACACGTTTAAAAGTAAATTATGCATGGAAATAAAGTTTGTACACAACTACACAAAGAGCTCTTTCATAATTCTATAATCTGTGTCTGCCGCTCCCAATGAACCCTTCATTCACAATTGTCTGGAGGAGGTGCTATAAGCAGATCTAAGTTTGTGCAGATTCCAACCACGTTGCTAAGATGATAAGTCTTGGTTTATTTTTGGTAGGTATGTGTAGTAAAGACAGAATATATATCGATGTCGTTATTGCAATTCAATACTAATTTTTCCTCCAAGTAATTAAAAAAAATATTATTTAAACAAGAAGCCCTGAAATACATCTCACCAGAGGTGTTCAATGCGCTGGTTGTGAACACTTTTACCAAATATAAAACTGCCTCTTCCTGGCCTTCTCTTTTGATGACATAATATAAAGGTGGCAACCTCATGATTTCCCCCCCTCCCTTGTCAGCTCTATCCGAGATGGCACACCGTATAGTTGTATGGCAGTATTAAAACCATCTAGAAACCGTATTGGCTCTGTTGTTATCACTAAAATTTAAATACACTACTATGCGAGAGAAGCCGTCTATGCAAAACTAACTTCCACTTAAGAAGATAATTTAGAAAAATTATCAAATTATTATTTGGTGTACCTGTTATATGTTCAAAAAAATATTCAGGGTTATAATTGTTTTCAGTTAAAGGGTCTGCAGTGTTTATATTAGGTCAAAAAGTCATATGTAATATATTGATATATAAATAACCTTGCATGTATGTTTAAATAATAACACATGTGAGGGTAATATCACGATTTGATGCCTGCCCAAAAGATGGTGGTTATGACCATATATAATGTCTATGATGACAGAGCCGAAAGTTCACTTGTACCTTGTAATGCAATCAACTGTTGTACAACTCCGGTGACTTCTGTGATTCAATAAAGACACAATACTGAATCCCGCTAACAAAAAAGTCTGTATCCAAGCGACATTTTGTATTTAGTATTCTTGGAATGGGCTCATGGATTGAAACAATTAGAGAAAAATACGTAAATAATGATCAAATAATATGGTAGACATTTCTAAATAAAGGCATTATAAGTAAATAATGACAAAAAATGTAATATATAATATGACATAACTCCACACCCTCCTCATGGCTTTCGTTGCGTATGGAAGTTATTTTCACCAGTGATGCGGTGTGGCCGTACTTTCACAAGCGAAGCTTCTCGAGTAAACATAACTTCCATATGCAACGAAAGCCACGGTGAGGGTGTGGGGTTCTGTTATTATTACATATGTTCCATATTTGATTTTTTTTTATATTAAAGAAAGAACGTGCAACAAACAGGGGTGGCATTTAGGCCCGAGGTCCCGGGGACTTAAAGAATGATCTGGTACGCATGTCTGTGAAAGAAAACGCGTTAAAAGGGTGTTTTTTTTTTTAAAGAAAAGCATGTTAACGCGTTTAGGGTTACCATTTCTGTCAAAATAGACAAAAAGGGTATCTTTTCCGGTACTGCCAAGTGATTAGGGTGGCTATTTTTTAAATGAGATTATC